AACCACACTCAGATATCACCTCACGCCAGTCAGAGTGGCCAAAATGAACAAATCAGGAGACTCTAGATGCTGGAGAGGATGTGGAGAAACGGGAACCCTCTTGCACTGTTGGTGGGAATGCAAATTGGTGCAGCCGCTCTGGAAAACAGTGTGGAGGTTCCTCAGAAAATTAAAAATAGACCTACCCTATGACCCAGCAATAGCACTGCTAGGAATTTATCCAAGGGACACAGGAGTACTGATGCATAGGGGCACTTGTACCCCAATGTTCATAGCAGCACTCTCAACAATAGCCAAATTATGGAAAGAGCCTAAATGTCCATCAACTGATGAATGGATAAAGAAATTGTGGTTTATATACACTATGGAATACTACGTGGCAATGAGAAAAAATGAAATATGGCCTTTTGTAGCAACGTGGATGGAACTGGAGAGTGTGATGCTAAGTGAAATAAGCCATACAGAGAAAGACAGATACCATATGGTTTCACTCTTATGTGGATCCTGAGAAACTTAACAGGAACCCATGGGGGAGGGGAAGGAAAAAAAAAAAAAGAGGTTAGAGTGGGAGAGAGCCAAAGCATAAGAGACTGTTAAAAACTGAGAACAAACTGAGGGTTGATGGGGGGTGGGAGGGAGGGGAGGGTGGGTGATGGGTATTGAGGAGGGCACTTTTTGGGATGAGCACTGGGTGTTGTATGGAAACCAATTTGACAATAAATTTCATATATTAAAAAAATAAAAATAAAAAAATAAAATACAAATTTGATCACAATTATAAGCATAAAACATAAAACTGCTTTCTAGCTCTTCTGTCGTTTTCTCTGAAAAAAAAAAAACCCTCAGATCCCTTTAAAACCTCTGATAATATCCACATACCATTATTCTGGTCTTTACATTACTTCTCAATTTTCTCTCTTCCTATTCTGACTTGACTTGCAGGCACATACTGTGGGACACTGCTAATGAAAGCAGCAACTTCACTGGCAATGGTTACTAAGAGTGCTGCTGTGATATGGAAACCATATCAATATAGTTGCACCCACATTGCTGATGCCCTATGGAAATGCCAATGTCCATAGTCATTCTATAGATAATCCCATGGTAGCTGAATATGCCAGAGTCCCAAGAAGTAAACATCTGCCGAGGTCAAAATGCTGTGAAGATGCCAATGCCAGTGACCAATACAAACACCACTGTCTGTGCCATTTTTAGTTTCTGTTGAAGACTCTATCACAGCAAGACTTCTGTTTCTTCTTCAGCATCTTAAAGAAAGTTTTAGTGAAATGACCCATGAGGAGCACATCCCAGGCTCAAGCAAAGAACACTGTGACACAAGGGAACTCCTTCACCTCTAAAAAAGCCTTATATCATTCAGATGCGATTTGAGCAAATCATACGTTACTGTCATTCACCCATTCATTCATTCATTCATTCATTCATTCATTCAACAAATACTTATCAAGCACTTATATGTTGCTCTTGATATGTAAAGCAACAAACCAGACAGATCCATTCCTTGAATCTGTTGCATTTAAATTCTAGAATAACAAATTCTGGTAGCTCATTACTCCTTTTGTTGGAACAGAACTGTTTGTATCCAACATCTGGATGTTCCTGGTAGCAGAAGCACTTTCTCCCTTTTCAAACACTGGAAACAAACTATGTCATAGAAACTTCTCATACAAATCATATAAGCAATAAATTCAGTGGTACATCTTTTGGGGTGGATAAAGGACTTGCAGTTATCAAGTTCTCTTCGGAGTAGACACAGTTAGGTAGATGCCTCACAGTGCATTAAGAGAGTTAGTGAATAGTCTGAGTGGAGGTCTTGACTAAGGAGTTTGCTAGAGAAGACGCAATGTGAACTGAAGCTGTGGGCTGTACAGCAGACAGCCTGGGTCAGATACATGTGGAGATCATAGATCAATATCAGGGGTCCACAGCCCAGGGGGATCACAGTCCTGGACATACCCTACTGACAGAGACTACAATCAGTCTCTGAGATATATATCCTGGATGTTATACCAACAAACCCTTGCAGACTGCTGAAGGGCAGCAGTGCCCATCATTTGTCACTAGTCTGGTTTTCAGCATCGACCAATCACACTTAAGTGGACACCAGTGAGGAACCTGAGAACCTGCCTTGGTTGAAGGACTTCCAGAGACCTACCTGTCACATGTGGTGCCACATGTCCTTCACATCCAGACTACATTCTAGAAAGAAACAAAAAGAACTTGGAGGTAGGGGGAGACTGGAGAATTTGTAAAGTTTTACAGTTCATCTAAAAGAGAATGAGTCAACTAAAGATACCATTTAAATTTTTGGATAAGCAACATATATTATCCTAAGCTTAGTTTTGTTTTGCTCATGTGTACTACCATACTGTGTGTGGGATCGGGGAGAGGAGATTCTGAGAAGATCAGATAATTTAATAGAAAAGAAGTTATACATTTTGTACATAACTTAGTACAGTGAAAACAAATTTATAAACCTGTATATTATTTTCAACTCACAAGAATGAAAATATACTTGTGAAATATGGATCACCACTTTTTATCACGTGTTGACTTTTGCTTCAAGTACATTTAAAAATTATTGGTTCATTAAAATAAAATTGGCATCTAAATCATATTATTAGCTAAACCACAAAGTAATTCAAACTTCCAACCAAACCATTTCAATGTATGCCTATTTAGGCACTGTTATCATTATTATATAGTGTCTATAAGGTACATAGAGATTGCTTATGATTCCAGGTTTTCAGGTGATTTTCATGGGAGGTTAAAACTCTGAATTATTTCGAATTTTCCCTTTTGGTGTCTAGTGGGCCCACCTGCCACTCAGCTAGCTGGGCCACTCTAATGGCCCGTCTCAGATAATGGAGATCACAGCAGAATCTGAGCCCCAGGAGAATGTTTCTTGGTGCTTTTATTTTCCAAATACTGGTTCGAAGTTAAAGTCTTGAATTTGCAAGTCTTGGATTTGTACTGGGTGAGGCCCAAAGGTCTGACCCCTAAAATCTCTAGGGATGAAATTTGAACAAGAAAAGAGTGGAAAGAGGAGCACTGGTGCCAGACTCCCTCCTTTCTCTGGCCCACAAGAAATAAAAAGTCCAAAACGAAGAGAATAATAGCAAGGGATTTGGGCTATTCTGCAGGAGACAGAAGAGGGATGGTCATGTGGACATGACTGAAGTCTGCAGTGGCGGGCATCCATACTTCACCCACAACACAACCACCCATTCGCTGGCTTCCAGGGAGCATCTAAATCACATCACCAGTGCTAAGGAAGCACATTAGCAGTTATTTTAAATATTATTAAAAAAAAAAGACTTCCCTTTCACAGCATTCAGAATATCTCCAATTGTTCACACAGTAGCACTGACATAGCATGAGCCCTGAAACTCTATTTGACCATATCTGAACTGTACTTCCAGAACAAACAGCCCTATCTATTCAATGGTCCAAGGAGCCTCTTAAACTCCAAAGATAGGGAATGGAAGCCCTGGATATCTGTACTTGTGTACGCTGTTGTAAATCACTTCAAACCTCCCCTGAGCCTAAAGTCATATATCTTTACAAAATGAACTGACTTTGAAAATAGAGCTTGACAGCTTGGCAATGGTATTTAGTGAACAACAAACATCGTGCCTCTAATATATGTAGTAAAGAAGAAAGTGTTAAGGAGAATTTTCTCTTTAGGGAGGAGTTCTTACCCATAAAAACTGTAAATAGATAGAGATAATTACATTGGGGAAATGAGAGCTTATAACCCTCTTTTATAGCAACTGCTGAGTACTCTCAATTTTGTAAAATACAATCTATCTAGATAGTGGTCTCCTTTGTACTGCTCTCCCTTGCTTTAAGGTTTTTCATATGCATTAAAACTGACCCTGTGGGAACTCCTCTTTTATCCCTCAGCCCACTTCTGAAGTCAGATTCCACTGTGGCATATTCTATTCATACCGATAGCTCTCTGCTCCTCTTTTCCTGGGTCCAGTCTTTGCACCTGAACTGTGCTTGGCATGGAGTTAATGCCACCAGGAGTGCTTCTCAGTCAATGAATAGTAGTGGGTACACAGCTTGTTGTTTTCCTCCCTAGGTGAAATAATTCTACAAAATCTCTTAGAGCATCCACGGCAGGATTGAACTCCAGTTTCCCACAGCAGTAATCTACTCACTAATAAAACTTTATTGGTTCCCCTTTTATTTCTCACTCTTTCACTCCTTCACTGTGTTCCCTACGATCACCTTCCAAATACACTACTTGTTTCCAAATATTTGCTTTGGCATCTGCTTTTGAAAGACCCAACCTAATAAATGTACAATAAGGGTTGATAAACCCATAAATGACACTCCCAAATAATTTTAGTTGTAAGAAATATGATGGGGGTGGGGGAGAGGGTAAAGCGGGTGATAGGCATTGAGGAAGGCACTTGTTAGGATGAGCACTGGAGGTTGTATGTAAGCCAATTTGACAATAAATTACATTAAAAAAAGAAATATGTGTTGATAAAAATTTCCCTAAAACACTGTTTTTGTATCTTCATCTTTATAGATTTGATTATGAGATGTCTTTTATAAAACTTCATAAGGAAATTGCAAATAATGGCAACTATAGGAACTGTGAAAACAAGAAACCTCAAAAACTAAGATTTAGTGCAAGCCATGTGCCTCCATATACTATTCTTTAGTGTTTATACTGTCCATACCATTTCCTCTAAACATATTTGTTTTAGCTTAAGGTTTCTCTCTAAGCTGGGAGCCTATCATTTTCTATAAATAGCTAGCATACTTGTCCTCCAAATCCCTTTCCAGCACTCCAAAGTTATGAAGTTCTCATCAGGGTAAAGCACAAGGGAATGGGGGTTTGATTTTGTTGAGTTAGAGAAATCTGTCCTTGGGAAATGTTTGTTATGTTTAATTATGTACCAGTGTGTCTTCATGAAGCACTTTCTCTGTTAAAGTGATATTGATCTACTTCCCTTTCTATCTAGGCATTCTATTTCACAGATCACTGTAGACATGCCAGGCATTCCAAGAAATGTAAGTCTACAGAAAAATATATACGGCCAAAAGAAAAAAGAACTCCAATTTCTATTATATTTTTGCATTAACCTGTTGAAAAAAATATGAAGGAACAAGGGTGATTTTTTTTTTTTACATCGCATGCTACAAAGCTCTGTGAGGCTGTGAGGTGAAAATGAAAAGAATATATATATCAAATAAAAGCAGTGAGCACATTTTTGGAACAATTTACATAGCTCTACTCCTGGGGCTAGCTTGCCCAGGTTATGATGGACAGGTGTCTGGTGGCTCCTTCTTGAATTCACCTTTGCTTATGGAGCTGAAATGGCACTTGTCATTCCAACCACATCTAATGCCATTTAGAGACTATAACAGAGAATAAAAGAAGAACAAATACTGAAATAGGACGGCGGCTGGCATAATTCAAGGTGAATCTCACACTTGGGGATAGTCTGTCTTTACAAGAAGGTAGTGTAAACAATAGCTATAATTTGTGTCAGGGCACATTCTTGAGATCTTTCAAATTGATGATAAAAATGGGAATGCTGCTAATAAAAATGATTAAGGAAAAAAAAACTGAGGGTAACAGACTGGCGAAGACATTTAGTAATGGAATACGACACTTTTTGCTTCTAGGTCACTGGTTCCAATTCAGCCTAAATCAAAAGAAGCTGAAAACTGTGATCATGTAATGTGTGCTTAGTGGCCTATTTGAAATTGGGTGATGGTCTTAGTTCAGGGAAGACATGTCCATTGCAGCAATAAATATATCACAGTATCATTCATAGCCTTTTAACATTTTTAATTGGTTTGCAATTATTATAGAGTAGATATTTCTTACAATTAGATTCTGTTCTGCTATCTTTTACCAAAATTTTAGCATTGTGAAAAGGGACCCCTCAGAAATTGAGTGACAGTCTTTCTCCCCATGGATTTGGGGGATTAATTGGTGACTCTGTTCTGTATGGCAACTACTAGCTTCCTAAACTTTTTACTTAAAAAAATGGCTCTCTGTCAGTTTGAAGTGGATATTTGCAGTAAGTAAGGGGCATCTTTTTTTTTCTTTTCTTTCCTCTCCCCTAGCCCCCACAATTCTATAAAAAAGAATGGCTTCGGTTTCTGAATAATTTTAGAAATATGGCCAAAAATATTTTTCTAAACATCTAGATTCTCTCTATGCCTGGCTCAACATTCAATTCATCCAGAAAAGTATCAGACTTGAAAGAGATTGACTGGTAGCCACATGAATGGGCAATTATACTACAGGAATTCCGGTACTTTATGTAACACATACACACAATAGCAATATGGTGTTTACTTTACCAAACTCTGGGGCAATAGTATTTCTTAAAAGTAAATGGGTATTTATTCCAGCCCAACAAATGGAGGTTAAACTTAAAAGGCAGTAAACCATTGTAAAGACAATTATTTTTCAGCTGTGAATGAAAGCCTTTCAGATAGTTATCAACCCTAAATATACTCTATATATGATGTTCCAGATGAGATTTGCATTTTGAAGGTGTGGCAATTAACGTCACTGTAAAGTATTAAAAAAACAATAATAGATAAAATGAAGCCCAGGGCATTAAGGTAATGTTGCAGAGTCTTCGTCCACAAAGCTTGGAATATGGACTCCATCATTTATTACTGTATGCTCCTTAGGAAAAAAGTAATCGTTCTACCCTCAATCTTTAACACCTAATTTCCAATGCATAATCTACAAAACTGGCTATAACAATGTAAACATTATTTAGCTATTATGGTTATGTAGAGAATATAGACATGATATGGACATGATTAATATTAGCTTGCTTCCATTTAAGGTTTGAATTTAAACATATATGCCTTTTTTATATAATATATTAGATTTTACACACACACACACACACACACACACACACACACACACTGCAAATTCTCTTTAGTATGCAAAACTTAAACTCAAGATACTAATCTCCTCTGACCATTCTGGATGGTATATAGAAATTTAGAGTTTATCATAAATTAAATAAACACTACCTAAATAAAAATAAACAAAAAATCCCCCCAAAAAACAACAAAGAAAAATAAGAACTAGGTCAGATGGAAACCTATACACTACTATGAAATTAATAGTCACTTTATAATCAATGCACAAATGTACATTATTTGTAATTTTCTCTGCATGTTATGATATGTATGTAGATCTGTGTGTGTGTGTGTGTGTGTGTGTGTGTGTGTGTGTATTTAAGATAAGTCTAAATAAACTGTTTCTACCTCATTAAGTTCATTCTTCTCATCTAATTTGTTGGTAACTGGAGGGCCCTGTCAAACACTCCTCCTCTCCTGGGTCTTTCAAACAAAGGGAGAGACACAAGGTACCAAAAAGGATTTCAATATTGGTTTTATTCCTGGTGGGGAGGTAACTCCTAGTAATGCTGTATTGTAGAAGGCGACTACAGAGTAAGACAAAAATAGAGACATTTCCTTCCTCCTCAAATCTCTTGGTACAGCTGGGGCTGCAAAGTAGTTTACAAGTACATCTATCAGCAAGTTTTCTGAAGGATCCAAGCATTTCACAAAACAGGTCACTTGATGAGTGAAGAAAGATGGGGTCCCTGATCCAGGTGTAGTTTCTGCCTTCAGTATCTACTAGCTATGAGACTGTGTGAAAGTCACTTAACATCTCTATCTCTCAGTTTCCTCCTCTATAAAATGGAGATGATTAAAGACCTATTCCATAGGGCTGTTGGAAAAATTAAATGAGTTAACATAGGTATAAACCCTAAGAAGTAAAGTCATTGCCTTCCTACCTACACATGAGAAGTGTGGGGATGGAACAAGTTCCTCTGTTTTGAGGCCTCAGATACAGTACTTGTACCAACATATATTAATAACCTTAGATACAATGTTAAAGATTAAGTTGTGAAGAGAGAAGCTACATGTGCTCACTCCCTATTGTCTTTTCCCTAGAGTAAAGCGGAGCCCCTGCCCTCTATTGTAAGAGGAGGAATGAGGGACAATGCTGCCCTCCGGCCTCAAATAATCATTTCATTAGCTTTCTGAAGTTCCACAGTAAAAGCATCTCTTCAGTATTGTGAAATATAGCACCCTGAAACGTGCATTTGTCTTATTTATCTCTCTGTCCAGGGTAGAATGGGTAAGTGTACACTTCACAGAAAGCAGATCAGAGTCTAAAAAGGAACTGCTCCTGTCTGGCTATTTCATTCTTTGCTGAAAAACAAAACAAAACAAAACAAACAAAAAAATCAAATCTTCATATGAGGTATTAAAATCCATGAACTCGGTGAGGAACCCCGATGAAGTGCTACATAGCTATGTGTTATTTTATTTTTATATATATTTTTAAGTTTTATTTATTTTGAGAGAGAGAGCTAGCAAGCATGAGCAGGGGAGGAGCAGAAAGAGATGGAGAGAGAAAATCCCAAGCAGGCTCTGCACCGAGCCTGACACAGGGCTCTATCTCATGGGTAGTGAGATCACGATGGCCTGACCCAACATCAAGTCAGATGATTAATTGACTGAGCAACACAGGCACGCCAGCTACATGTTATTTTAAAATGTATGCTTTTTAAAATTCATAAAAGATTAAGTGGATTGAATTGACAAATATTTCAATCACTTCCTCTAGGAATTACAGGGAAAAGTCAAGTTCAAATAGGTTTCCTATAGGCAAAGCAGAATTCTTTTGGTAGTAAAAATTAACAGCAGTGGCTGAGTTCATATTTTTTTTAAGAATTGTCTTTTTATTAAAAATTTTTTAATATGTATACAGTTTTGAGAGAGAGCACTAGTAGGGGAAGGGCAGAGAGAGGGAGACACAGAATCTGAAGGAGGCTCCAGGCTCTGAGCTGTTAGCATAGAGTGATGCGCAACTTGAAGTCACAAACAGAGATCATGCCCTGAGGCGAAGTCAACTGCTTAACCGACTGAGCCCCACAGGTACCCCTTGTATGAAATGTCTTAACTGATCATTCTAACAGCATTGAGAGTTTAGGATGCTATTGGTGTTTTTTCTTGTGTGCATGAGAAAATTTAGTCTCAGAGAGTTTGTTATGGTTGCTCTGGTCACCCAGCTAGAAAGTGAAAGAGGCAGGAATCAAACCATTGGCTTCACATCTCTTTCTGTGTCACCACACTGCCACTAACAAGTTATGATTTCATTGTTCTTTTTATTGGGCATTGGGTTAGATGTTTTATTCTGTAAATATCTCTCAGAAATTATAGTGCAAACAAATTGAGGGTCATTCAATTCAACACATATTTATGGTATACCTATTATGCTATCTGGCAATCCACTCTTTTTACAGTTCTCAGGTACACAAAATGAGATCAGCCTACACTATATACTTGCCTCGGTAAACAACTATTTGTTTAGCATTTCAACTATTGCTGCTCTCATAGCAGGGATCTAAGGCTAAATGTCTTCTAAATAGAAAACCGAAGCCACAAGGTTGTATACTAAAACACTAGTGAGCCAAGTAATAGATCTTCTTAACATAGCTGCAGGTTATTCCAACAATATCGAAACCCCTTTGAGTTTAGAAAGATATGTCACCATTTTAAAGGTATTTCTATTTTGTCACAGATTTGAGAGATTGAATAGTAGTCTCAAACCTTGGGGCCCTTAGCACAGATCATATACTGACTGGCATTGATGTTGAAGGATGCCCTAGTGGAAATCTCCTGGCTTATTGCATTCCTCTACACTCCCCACAGTTATAAAACTGAACTAGCCTATCTTTTTGAGAAATAATTGTAAATAAGTGTTCAGTGTTCACTGCTAAAGTAGAGCAATCTTGATAAATATTTTCATTTTAGGATCTTTGTATTTTATAATTGTTCAGATCATAAATGAGTCAGATAATTAATTATAATTGTCAGAATGCTTATAATGAAAATATAGGTATTACAGAAGTAGGCATAACCTTATGTCTTCCATTCTAAGATATTTGTTGTTCATTAATCCTACATCATCATCTTTCACACACACTTTTGTAGTGGTCTTCTAACAGATCAACTTCTT